GACCGCGGTATGGGTTTGTGGTGCCTGCCAGGTGCGCACATGTCCTTATCAGCTTGGTATGAATATACACGACTCCATGGGGAGGATGAGAGTGGCCTTAAGCTTATGTGCAGGCATGAATCCTAAACCCAAAATCCTAAACCCTTGGGGATGATGAGGGAAGGGTCCCCCCACTGTATGCTTTGCCGGGACATCGCAGATGCCCTTAAACATGTGAAGTTTGTAGGGTTTGGGGTTGGAGGCTTTGGGCTTGGGACATCAGAGCTGATAGTTTTCCTGAGGCCCTGAATCATTCACATATCGGGTTATATAGGGTTGGGACACATCGTCATAGTGGAAAAGAAAATGGAAACTACTGTATTATCGGGTATATACGTATCTGATTGAACGTTATGAAGGAGACATGGTTACATTGACAGCGGGCGTGTCGTCTGGACGCAACAGAATGTACGTCGTAGCCTGGTGGAGGACTTTCAGAGTTCAGGACCTAGGGTCTTGAGATCCTAGTGAGAATTCGGGATCCGGGGTTGGGAAGGTTTGAGATTGGGGTGGGCGCTGGTTAGAGTAGTATGCGTTAGGGGCCGGGTAGAATTCAGAGTGCCTGGTTGCCCTGGTCTCCGCCTCGGATTCCTAAACAATAAGCCCTGAACCCTAAACCCACTCTCTTTTTTTCTTTCTCTCTATACACATATATTCCCTTATTCCCTACTAACCCACAGTCACGAAATCGCAAAAACGCAAAACATCACAGATGCGCGACCTCGGGAGTTCACCTGGCTCCTCATCAAAGCTTGGGGCCCAAGGGAAGGGTTTAGGGTTCAGGGTTTTAGACGGGTTCAGCTTTTGGGTTTTAGGAGGGTTTAGCATTGGAGTTTTAGGAGAGTTCAGGTTTTGGGTTTTAGGAGGGTTTAGGGTTTAGGTTTTGTGTTTTGGGTTTTAGGAGAGTTTTAGGGTCTAGGTTTTCGGGTTCAGGGCTTAGGGTTTAGGGTTCAGGCTTCCGGGCTTAGGATTTAGGGTTTAGTAGGTTTCAGCGCTTAGGGTTCATCATGTAGCAATAGGCTGATAAAGTTCTGGGGTAATCGAGCGGTCGAGAGGAATAGGTGATAGAGTTATTGTAACAGAGTAACTGAGTAATAGACGAGTACTACGGTATTGGAGTAGTGAAGCAATAGACTCATAGAATAACAGAGCAATAGCGTAATGGATTTATAGAGCAATAGTATGATTGAGTGATAGTGTGATACAGCAATAGGGTGATAGAGGAATAAAGCAATAGCAATATATTATAATGGTAGGTTTGGAAAGCATAGCGGCAGGCTTGGAAGGTCAGTGTTTTGAGTCATTTTCACGTTTTTGCGCTACGCCGCTAGGGACTGAAGCACCGCAGCTGTGAAATCCTAACCTGACGGGTTCTTAGTAGGGACGAGGGGAATACATTATATAGGGGTGTTTATAGGGGTTTTACAGGGATTGTATTCCCTTATCCCTGCCAAGGACAGTAAGTAACTGCACCTTCCACTCGCCGAATCTGACTTCAGAGCCGCATGGGTGATGGTCTGTGTGTCTGTTCCTTACAGTCCCCCTTAAGTAGATAGAATATGGCTTTGGGTATATCATAATAAGATCCCCATAGACCCCATATGCTATCAACTTAAGGGGGACTATATCTCTAGGGTCTCAGGACCTTCCATTTTCAGCAACTCTGAGGCTTTTGTATCCTGGCTTTTCCTGAGGATTATTTTGGTAGTACAGGATTCAAGGTGCAGAACATGGCGGTGGAGGGGTGTCTGACCACTTGGGTTTTAAGGTATGGATCTCGAAGCCCAAAACCCAAAACCCAAACCCAACAGCCAAAGCCCAAACCCAAAACCCAAAACCCAAAACCCAAACCCAAAACCAAAAACCATAGAAAGCCCAAAGCCATGATGAAAGCTACGGACCCATGTCAGATCTAGCCTCCCGCTTTGAGAGTCATCTTCGCTGAAGCTTGGGTGTCAAAGCCTAGCTCCTAAGGTTTAGGGTTTAGGGGTTTAGGGTTTGGGGGTTTAAAGTTTGGGGGTTTAGGGTTTAGGGGTTTAGGGTTTAGGGGTTTAGGGTTTAGGGGTTTAGGGTTTAGGGGTTTAGGGTTTAGGGTCCAAACTTCAAGTATCGCCCTTGATAGCCCATAAAAAAGGATTTAGGCTTGAGGTTGTAAGCGCGCATCCGGTGCTGCGTGCAAGCTTTCTTGCTCAAAAGGATCTGCGGGCCTGAAGTAGACACTGAACCCCTAAACCCTAAACCCTATAATTACCCTAAACTTGAAGTCGGAAAAAACAAAAAATTGTGTTTGGGTTTGGGGTCCCTTATCATTCCCAAAGCCAGCACCCTAGACCGCGTGTGGCTGTCCACGAAGGACCTCCACGCCCTGTGCGCGTGCGACTGGTGCGACGACCTGCCACTTGTCCCTCAAAGGATCAGGGAGTCCAGGGGGTTCCGCGTTGGGTAGAGCATTAGCACTGGCTTAGGATGTAGCTTTGCAAATTTGATATTACTACTGTTGGCGACTATTTAGTCAAAAACAGCCCTGCAGTGGTGTAGGGGCCCCGGAAAGAATCCTGGCTGGTCCGAATCTCTGAAACCAAGCAGTCCCTGGAGGAAGCGCCAAAATGTTCAACTTCAACATGCTAGGTTCGGGAGTGCGCAGGGGGGAAGACCCTTTCTACGAGAACAGCTGTGGAAGGAAGGTCAGATGGTGTTTCGGATTGGTTGGATGGTTGAGGTAGCTGTTGTACAGTGAGGAACTCTCATGGTGTATCCAGGATTCCACTGATGCCTTGTTTGGACTTCTTGCGATCTTTGAGGCCAATCTCAAGTCTCAAGCTCCTCGAACGCTTGAACCATCAAAATGGGGACGTCTTCCAACACTTCTAATACCTTTCAAACATAACCCCAGCTCAAATATGACTCGCCAGAATCGCATGCATTCTTTGGCGCCAAGGCTTCTGCGGCCATTCGTTTGATGAGCTTGCTGCTCAGAGGGTCTTTCAAGTAAAGGGTCTGGCAGAAGTGTTTCGGAGTCCCTGCAATCCCGTACGTGCTTTGCCATCCGAAGACCCTATGGATAGAAATTTGATATTTGCAGGGTCTTTGGACTAGAGAGGTGAAACTTCACCTTTCCTTACAAAGCTTTCAGACCTTACTGGATCCATACGGTGTACGGCTTTCAGGTTTCAAAACGTGCGCTCCTAATTCCAATAACTCTGATGACTTGCGCAGACTCTGCTTTACGATGTCATGTCTTTGTGGCACAGGCAAAGTCTGATGCAAGTTCTCATTGCAGTATGTGTGGCTGCTTGCCTCCACATATACCACTGCAATCCTTCAGACCCACATCCTCATGCCAAAAGCCGCTAAAGGTGGACTAAAAAAAAGCAAGCCCTGAACGCGCAGACCTCAAAACCCTGAAGCTCATGCGGGGGTCGTTTCAGGCGTTCCATACACATGAGCCAAGCCACACACAGCAAGTGAGACCAGCCTATGTAAGTTTCATGAAACCCTAGACTCAAAACGCAAAACCCTAAATCCTAAACCCTAGATTTGATGGAGCTGCCTGAATCCAGGCATCGCCTCGGCGAGTCCAGCAAGGGGAACCCGAAGCTGAGGCCAACGACAGGAATCCTGGGAAGCGTTTAACTAAAGTATATTGGGGTTATATAGGGATAACGAAAAAGAGAATAGAAACTACTATAGTATGTAGGGGGTATATAGGGATAATGGAAAATAAAATGGAAACTAGCGGATTTTGGCGCCGGTTCGAAGGGGTTAAAGGCTTCAGCGGGCTCAGTGTTGTCATAGTAGGAAGATTCAAGGTGGTTCGACCAATGGCGTTTATGGGATCCCCCCGGGTATAGATTCAGCTTCCAAAGCAGGATCCTTACGTCAGAAATCGCTTTCGTGTCTGGGAGCCCCAGTATCACAAATTCTACATGTGTAGATATCCATATATCCCTATATCCTGTATGCCTGAACCATATACTATTGGAGTTCCAGGCAGGACTGAATGTTTAGGGCCTCAGCCGGAACCCAGGTCGGGAATAGGAGATGGCAAAGGTGTCCGTCGGGTTTCAGGTTTAGGGTTCAGGATTTAGGGTTTAGTGTTTTGTTAGGGGATACTTGAACCCCAAAAGTATGTAGAGCAATAGCACTTTGAGGAACCAACCCCAAGAACGCTCTTGCACGGAAGGAACCCTTGTCCTAAGCCCTAAGTTGCGAGCATTAAACCTTGAAGCCTAAGCTTGGGTTTAGCGTTTAGGGTTTAGGGTTTGGAGAGCCCCTGCAGCCTCCAAAGCGTCAGCTCTCCGCTTGACCTTCAACCACATGCACCTCTCTACCATTATTAGTACTATATTTTACTTTCGTTATTATTTCAATTATTGTTATCATCATTTTTGTTATGCCTGTTATGACTGCTATGATCATTGTTGCTAAGCATTATTACTATTATCAAGCATCTCCCAAAAAGGCCTTGAAACCAACAACCAGAGGATTTAAGCTCGCAATTCTGGACCGCTCCCCCATGACACATTCTCAGACAACCTCGCGACACATATGGGCTTTCCCAAAATTTGGGGTATCCTTTCGGGTGTCCCTATAATACTGATTATACTTTTTTTGGGTCTATATCAGAGTCCCCCTGTTTAGGGAATGTGCCACATATCTTTTTCGGGCTAGGCACTGAGTAAATTGGAATCATGATACGGATGGCAAGGCGAAGAGTCCCGATAAGACTTTAGTTTTCGACCTGGCTCAAGATGCAAGATCTGACACATGGTAGGCCTCCACCGCCTTTGCGAACTAGGTAACTGTCATCGCAGCTGGCTGATGCCAGAAGTAAATACGGTCTTGGGGTAGAGTAGAGGAGGGTTGCTACCCAAACTGAAGGATTAGTCTTTGTAGTGAATCAGGTTCGTGTGTAATATTCACTTTCTGTGCGGCCTTGCACGCCATCAGCTTCCCACGCTATGAATCCAGATCCTGGGAGCTTTCACCAGGAGTTCTCCCAGGCGGGCGTCCAGGGATGCTCGGAGAGTGCCAGCTGAAGACATAATACGTGGATGACATTTCATATTGTTTTACTAACCCGGTTGCTGTCGCAACGCTAGTGATCGTGGGCAGGCGTCTAGTCTAAGTGCATGTCACCCAACCTGCACAAATCAAGATATGGCAGCGCAAAACAAAAAACTCGTGAAGTATTGGGGCGCCGCGGGCGTTTTTAGGGCATGCAAGGGTAATCCTCTTGTTGGAAATCATCTTGCAGGATGCTCAGGATAGTTCACAGCTTTTGCAGTCATGTGCGGTCCTGCTGGATGCTTCCTTTCATTGGAGTAGCATGCTGAATGTGAAAGGCCTCCAGCCGCGTCTTTGCTAGACCATCCGTTTACAGGTACCCACACAACTTGAGTGCGCCACAGGTTCAATCACCTGCAGCCCCATAGCAGCAGCTGTCAAAATTCTTGGCCTCTGGAATTTCCCACAGATTAGGGACTTGCCCTTTTCCTCACGCTTGTCCTTCAACTGAGTGCCACTACTTATTCTCTTAACCCTTCAACATGGACGTAGGACTGAGGCGGAGCCAAGGGTTTCTTGTACAGACGTTCATTATGAAGGCTTCTATAATACTGCCCCTTTGCCCACTTCGTAGATCGCCCAAGCTGTACATCTCAAACCCTGAGCCCGAAGCCGTGGATACTAAACAATGTACTCCAAGGCCCCTCTGCTACACTGCACGGTCCTTATCTGTGCCCGGCCTCAAATCATCGATTCCAAAGTCCTCATCTGCATCCTAAACCCGGAACCCTAAACCCGAAACATTGAACTTTAATTGCAGGACATACCTCAAAGGCGCTGGAACCTCTTCCAGCTCCGTGTCCGGCATGGCACAGGAAAGGGAACGCTTCTGGAGGCACGAACATGTGGGGAATTTAGTGTTTAGGGGGCTGATTGGTAGAGGGGGCAGGGCAAGGGGTTGAGGTATTGGAGTTTGGGGCTCAGGCCTTAGGGATTGGGATCTAGGGTTTGGGGTTCGCATGATTTACTTCAATTAGCCTGGCACGGGCCCCGAAACAAGGAGCTCGGGGGTCAGCGGCTTTCGACCTTCAAGTCGTATGTTGGTGTGACCAGAGATTCGATTGGGATCTATAGTCTAGAGCGGGCAAGGTTCAAGGCTTCGGGTTTAGAATTTAGGGTTTAGGGTTTAGGGGGAGGGTTTAGGGTTAGGAGTGAGGGTATGTGTCGAAGGATGTGGCTTTGGAGAGAAAGTAGGAACACCTTCGGACTTGCAGAGGTGACATTGTGTTGGAGGGTTTCGAGGATCTTGCATGCCTGTACAGGCAAGGAGATTTGCTGTCTGGTTCCTCGCACTGATTTGTGGGTGTTGATCTGTGTAGTAGTTCTTTTATCGATGTAGTTCCCTAAGCCCTAGACCCGTAAACCCTAAAATCTGTCATCGTCCTTACAACCCATTCCTCGTTTCCCCACTGAGCACCAGGGAGTTGGGGATTAGGATTTTCCTGTCGATCTCAAGAGGCAGGGATCCTGCGAAACTGCTTGGAGGGGGGCAAAGGAAGAGCCATCGGAGGATGTAGTGACAACTCGTTTAAGATGATTTCCGGTTTTGCTTCTTCTGGCTATTGCCTGGCAAAATTCGGCAAGAATGTTTACGAGCAGTATCGAGCACTACGTTGCTACATTCATTGCCATCTCACTTTCGGCTTTGTGGAGATTGTTAGACAGGCGTCGATATGTAAACGATTTGTAACCGGATTGCTATTTCAAACCTCCGCGGTGAAGATCTTCATCTCTTCTGCATGCTAGGTCACAGTGAGGAAGTATCTTGTGCTCGAAGGCTTCAATCCTGAGCCTCACATAGTGGGAGCTTCTTAGCATATAGTCCCCCTTACGTAGATAGAATAGGGCTTAGGGTATATTACAATAAGATCTTCATATACCCCGTATTCCATCTACTTCAGGGGGATTATATCTTGGGTCCCTGAAGCTACCCTTCTCCCAATGCAAAGCCCTAAGCCAGAATGAGCCAGCAGGTCTCCCCCACTGATACTGTGAGGGAGTTGAAGCAGCGCATAGAAGCGGGCAACTGGGGATGCATTCTGTGGAGAAGGGTTTGGTGGTCTCCAATTCTTAGGGGTCCCATTTGTCAGGCAGTACCTCAGATCAGGACTATGGTAAACTGTTATTTGTGTTTGAGGCATGCGGCTGGGTCAGGCTGCGGGTGTAGTAGCCAGGCTTCATCAACTCTCAACCAGAAAAACCAGGGTGTAGACTGTAGTCAGTTACTGTTGGATGCGTCTTGAAGCTTTGAAACACTGCACTTCTGCTTAGTACTAAAAGCTGCTCAGAAAATCCTGCCTAACTTTAAAGTCCTTGTGAACTCTCTGAGTTTAGAAAGGGGGTCTCATGCCGTAAAGAAGTCCCTTTACAGCAACCCTTGGACTGTGGTATTGCGTATGAATGAGTTTTAGGGCTTGTTGTGCAGGTTACTAAGAACAGAGCCGTAATGCCATGATCCGTGCTCTTGAAAGAGCAGGCCCCCGATTCAAAAGCTCGAAGAAGCAAGTGTTTTATCCACAATGCTTTCCATCAAGAGCTTGGTTTAAGCCTTGAAACAGAAATGGTAGTTTCCGCAAAATAAGGGAACCCCATACAGACCTCACAATACTATAATCCTTATTGTACCCCTAGTTGTGGGAAATCGGGAGATCCTCAAATCTGTCAGCACGGCATTCCCAGGCCATGGGTTCAAGGTTGAGGATCAGCGCCTGGTATGCCAAGGCTGATGCAAAAGCTTCTTCTTAGTGGCTAGTATGGAACGAAGGAACAGGGGGTGTAGGGGCGACTATAAGGCATCAGATAGGGGCTACTTCCATTTTCCCTGTTCACGACCAGTAAGTTGAACTAGTATAGTACTTTCCATTGTATTTTCCATCATTCCCCATATAGCCCCTACGTTATACCTAAACCCTCAACCCTAAACCCTTGTAAAGGTTCAGGCATTCCGTGTTTTGGTTTGGCATTAGGATTTTGAGGTTGCGCGGTTGGGATGCAGGATGCACAAAGGACGTCATGAAATTTTGGGTGAAGGATCATCTCAACGACAGCAGTCCATCACGAGGGGAGCCGTACAGAAGTAGGTTTAGGACTTTGGCAGGCTGGGGGTTGTTTTGCTCAGCCTTTCCGGCAGCATTTTATGGAAATGAAGTCTCTGGAAGATCACCACTTCCAAGAAGATCCCTGGACCCTAAACCTTACACCCCAAATCCTAGACCCTAAACCCTAAACCCATTGTGAATCGGGTTCAGGATGACCCCCAGCCATTCCCAGTCAGTTCCTTCAACAAGTGGCTGCGGGACTGCTAGACAGCTAGCCCAGGAGCCTTGAGCTACTGTCAAAATTAGGCTTATCAAGGAACCCTCAACGGTGGACATGGGGGTCCCTCTTGTAGTTTAGTACAGTGGGTAATATAGTTCCTAGTCAGGCACCCATGTCCATGAAGTATCTGGGAAATATTGACTGTAGCTCACACGGTTCTGAAATTCAAGTAGGGATGCCGGAGCTTCAAAGCTCATGAGGCTGAAGGTTTGGGTCTTAGGACTTAGGGTGTAGGGTTTAGGGTTTAGGGATTTAGAGCTTAGGGCCTGGCAGTAAGGATTTTAACACGTGCGCGCATAGAAGCAGCGGCACGCAGGTTGAAGTCAAGTCATCTCGAACCAACCTCTTAGTACCAGACGTCAGTGTGCGCCAAAACTCCAAGCGCCGAACAGGAAAAGATCCAGAACAGAATATTTTTCAGGCGGCAATCTCAAATCTCAAGATCCCGTTCCGCAAGCCTTTCACTCTCAACTCTAAAGCTTAGGTCTTGAACTCAACCATGAGCCCAAAACGCTAAACCTGAAAGCTGAATCCTCGAGCCTTCGGTGCTAAACATTAGACAGTCCCTAAATTTTGAACCTTAAAACCTAAACCCTGAACCTAGCTTCCTTAAAGTGACAGGTGGCCTCTTGGCAGATGAGCGCATGCTGGGGTCCTACGAGCTTGACCACAGCTCTGTGGTAGCGCCGGGCTCAGAGTAGATACGTATGTCATGAGGCAGGGTTTAGGATTTAGGGCTGAAGGCTCCGGGCTTAGGGTTTAGGAAAGCTAGGGTTTAGGGCAGCAAGATGTCATTTACATATGGTTACTTTGTTTTCCGCGAGGAATGAGGGGCGCCGGCAATCCCAATCTCAGTAACATTGCAGGTTGATTGAGGTGGTGAGCTAAGATGTAATAATGTATGGGCTTCAGGTTAATTTAGGCTTCTCACTGGCAGGGATGCACGGAGATTTAAGCGATTTGCAAGACGGGCGTTACCACGGTGAGATGGACATAATCCCAATATATCTCAATGGTGCAGCAGCCGGAAATTTCCACAGCAACTAGCGTCTCCTGAAGGCTCTGAGGGAAGGGTTTCAGGATCTCTGACGCGGGGTGGCTGAATGTCTCCTTGCTTAGGAGTTGACCAGTAAACCATCCTCTCGTTCTATTACTTAGCCCCGGCAATCCTGCAAGTGCTTCCTGTTTGACCTTGATTTCATGGCATCGGGTAGAAGGCAACGGGTTCTAGGACAAAGCTCATATATTCAGAGGCGAAATCAATGCGCGGCTTTCTGCCATGGGTGCAACTAAGTGGGTTGAGCTTGAAACAATTTTATGGACAGCTGTTAGAACAACACTCTCAGACCAACAGTTCGGCCCTGAAACCATCTTTGCCTAATTCCGAAACTTTGCACGTAGAACTCCACTGCATCAGCTCTTGCTCTACCCTGAGCTCTATAACCTTCAGCCCTCAAGCACAAAGCCTTTCAGTGCTAATTGCTAATCACTGAGCGCTAGATGCGCTGAAGCACTAGACTCCACCACGCTCTAGACCCCCCGCCCCTGAACCCAAAAACCCAAAACCCTAAGCCTTGAACCCCAAACCTTAAACCGGTCAAAACCCGCCAACACTCCCGACCTGAACCCTATACAATCTCTATAAACCCTAAACCTCCAACCCTAAACCCTAAATAGTAGTCTCCATCTTCTTTTCCACCCAACCCTAAACCCTAAATCCTATGTAACCCCATTACAGTGGTTTCCATTTGGTTTTACATTATCCCTATATAACCCCTAAGTTCCAACCCCGCGCCCAGACCTTGGTCCCTCAGCTGCACCTGCGGCACGGAAGTGGCCTGAACGGCGGCGTTGGGTGGAACAAGAGCCGTGGCCCAGGCGCTTAGCTTAGGGTCTAGGGTTTAGGGTTCAGGGTTCAGGGTTTAGGGTTTAGGCTTTCGGGATTAGGGTTTAGGGATTAGGTT